ACAGATAGATAGACAGGCAGACAGACTGTAGATGGATGGATGGATGGATGGATGGATGGATGAATATGATGGATGGATGGATGGATGGATGGATGGATAAACAGATAGATATTGCAGATGGATGGATAGATATAGATAACACAGATAGATGGACATGGATATAGTAGATAGGGCAGATGATAGATAGATGAGAGAGAGGGAGAGAGAGAGAGAGGGAGAGAGAGAGAGAGAGAGAGAACTGTATAGGTGATATTATTCTTTTGCTATGCCTTCTTCAGGAGCAGCCTTCTTTGCAAAGAGATTGTTCTTCCATTGCTTACCTTCCATCATGCATTTGGGTTATTCCAGCCATGGGCATATTGGGACAATCAATAAAGAAGATAAAAATTGCCAGCAGACTTAACATGGTGCACAAGAAACAAAACTTGATGATCCCTGAGCAGCGCAGCTTAAATTTGTTCACAATGAAACCTCCAAGGAAAGTGCCTCCTCCTCCTGCTGGAACCACAAGATAGCCTTCCAAAGGAGAGGGAACAGGTGTGTTATTTTCAAATCTATTATCGTTTATTATTTAAGTAAAACTTAACTTCATTTAAAATCTGCCTTTTTGGTAGTGGGCCTCCTCTAATATTATTTCCACAATCCAAAAGTTTGAGATAGTTGGGCTGCAAGAGAGTGACTGGCCCAAAATCACCCAGTGGGTTTCATGGGGACTTTAACCAGGGTCTCCCCAGTCCAAGTCCAATGCCTTAACTACTACACTGCACTATTTCTCCTATTATAGCCATCATATTAACCTGGTGTTCATTAGGATCCCAATCAAAATACAGAGATGGTTAAGAATTGCAAAGAATTGCAGACTAGTCTATATGTCCCCCCCTCCCCCCAAAATCGAAGTCTACTTTGACTGATGCTCAGCTGCTTGTAGCTTCATGGACATATCCACGTAGGAATTTTTGGCAACAATAAGGAAACAATTTGACATTGCTTTCTTCTGGGATTTTTTCATTTTTTAAATCTAGCCTACAGCCTTGGGGTTTCCTGAAGGTTTGCCATATAAATACCATTCAAAGCTGACCCTGCTAAATTATTTGAAATCTGCCAAGGTTGGCTAGGTGCCACCAGCAACACTTTCCTAAAGCAATTACTTGCTTGAGATCAGAATTCAGGACCTCAGATACAGAATACTGGTCCTGTTGGTTTGGCTTTGCTTTGAGAGCAATTAGACATTTCTTATAGGTTCTTGCAGAAGATCTCCTTCAACAAGCTTTGCTGATTACCCAGGTATTCCTTAGGAATTTGGTTATTTGAAGGACCAGCTGTCTCTGGCTGTCCTTTCTTGCATTGGGTGAGATCAGGCAGAGTGGGCATGCTTTGGATCCCATTGATTAAGGAGGATCTAGGGGGGCCCAGGAAGCATGCCTTCTTTGTCATGGCATCTGCCCTCTGGAATGATATCTCCCCAGAGATCTGTATGGTTCCCACCCTGATAAGGTTCCCAAAGTCTCTGAAGACTTGGCTTTGGGTTCTCCCAGGCTATGGGACAGGATGATGGTTGAGCTCCTGTTGGATGTTTGTTGTTGTTGTTTAAACAGACGAGTGAGTGAGCAAGCTGTGGTGGATCTATATGGACATTTGATCCTGTCAGGGTAACTGGCTTCCACATGAAGCACAGAACTCATGGTCTAATCCTTCTTGAAGTTATTGTTCTTCAAAATCCATCCCCATGCCCCGATTCAGAAACTGTTCACTTCTTTCATTTGAACTTTGCATGACTTGGTGCAACAGTACTTACAACATTCGGGAGCAAATATTTTGGAGTTAAAAAATGCTGAATAAATGAACAGTAATCACTTTAAGTGATTTAAGAAGTTTCAGCAGGTGGCAGCATCTGGCCAACTCTGTGTGGGCTCAGAAGCTAAGCTGAGTTGAACCTGGGTTAGTATTTGGAGGGAACTGAGAAATCAAGACTGCAGATTAGACTGGGAAATTGAACGCGCTTATCAGAAGGAAGCAATGGCAAATCAATTCTATATTATTGCCTAGAAAACTATATGAATATGGCCGTGAAGCCAGCGGAAGCTGAAATCAACTAATGAGGACTAAACACATAAAGCTTCATTTAATGACATTTTTCTTACCAAACAAAGTTGCTGCTTCAGAGGCACTTAAACTAAATTGGGATTCAAGAAATTTGGGGCCAAATGTCGACATCCCAGCAATAAGTGTAGCTTCTGTAGCTCCCGCTAAGCAAAGGAAGATGAAAGTTGGATTCTTCAGAAGCAGCCAAAGTGACCTTTAGGATCCAAAAACAGAAGGGAACAAATTATTCAGTGTATATCCTGCTTTCCACCCCAGGTGCTCAAGCATTCATAAGGTGATTCCGACATTTGTTTTATTTCATGTTTTTAGCAAAGCTTTCCTGAGAATTATAATCCCACATCCACCATGGCATGTTGTCCTAATTTCTTGAATTAAAGAAAAATAATTGTTATATTTTAAAACTCTCTCTCTCTCTGCCCATGTGCCAGTACACTACATGTGTCTCCTAGTTCTTAGTATGCAGGCAATAGTATGTTAGAGCTTGCATAGAGGAACATGACCATCCTTGAAATAAAATTAGCCTTTGGTTGCACTTCTGGCATATTGGTCAAAATGTGCAAAAATAGGGTTTTTCTTTCTGTTCTTAAATTTAGCAGGAATGTATATAGGACAGGTATGACTAAAGATAGTAACCTAGTAAAGGCCTTCAACTGTGTTGACCTTGTCAAGGTGTGGAATGTGCTTAGGAAATTGGGAATTCCTGAACATCTCCTTGTCCCCATGAGAAACTTATATACAGGTCAGGAAGCCACAGTACGGACAGAACATGGCAAAACAGACTGACTCCAGGTTGGCAAAGGAGTAAGGCAAGGCTGGATACTCTCCCCTTATTCAATCTATATGCCAAATATATATTAAGGGAGGCTGGATTGGAAGAAGATGAGCATGGTTTTAAAATTGGAGGAATAAACATCAGTAACCTGTGCTTTGCTGAAGATACTAATAGCCAAAAATGCAATGGATCTGCAAGTTCTAGTAATAAAAGTCAAAGAGCACAGTGAAAAAAATGGGACTAAAATTAAATATATATTAAATACATAAAATTAAATATAAAGATGATCAAACTAATGAGGCCAGGTACAACAACCAGCCTTAGAATTGATAATGAAGATATCGAAGTGGTGAATAGCTTCTGCCTTTTAGGATCAACCATCAACAGCACAAGAAGAAATCCAGAAATAAGTTGCAAACTAGCACTTGGAGTGGCCTTGGAAAAGATATTCAGATGCTGGGATGTGTCTATATGTACGAAGATCAGAATAGTGCAGCCAATGATATTTCCCATGACACTCTATGGAAGCAAAAGTTGGACTTTGAAGAGGGCGGATAGAAAGTGTACCTAGGCTTTTGAACTTTGGTGTTGGAGAAGTCTCCTGAGAATACCATGGACAGTCAAGAAAACAAATGGATCATCAAACAAATCAACCAGAAGTTCTTAATTGAGGCACTATTGACCAGGCTCAAATTATCCTACTTTGTACACATTATGCAAAGGCCCAGCTCTCCGGAGAAGGCTCTGATGCTGGGAAAGGTAGAAGGAAAGAGAAGAAGATGATGACCAGCAGCAAGGTGGATGGACTCAATTACAGCAGCAATAGGTGCATCTTTGGAAGGCCTGAAGGACCAGGTTAGAGGCAGATTGTCATGGAGAAAATCTATCTATGTGGTCACTAAGATGGCACATAAGCAATATATCTTACTAAAAATATTATCTAAATGCCTTGGTAGACCAAGCCCTCATGGGCAATGGATGTCGATATCGATGGGCACATCTGGTGAGAAGTGTAGCATATGGAAGACTGTGATTTGGAATGTAAGAGGAGTACATAATAAAGAACATGAACTAACAAATGAAAGGGAGGGAGGAAGACCAATTATGATGTATGTCTATGAAACTATGAGAAAAGGGAAAGATATAACAGATCCAAATGAAGGTAGTGTAAATTTTTGCAGTGACATTGAAGAATACATGCAGGTATGTAAAGGTATAGAGACAGTTATGAATGAAAGGGGTTAAGTTTCAGAAAGTAAGTAATCTAAGTGGTGGGTGCATATCAAGG